CTTCTCGTCATCACACATACGGCATACCAGATCCCTTGTCGGGATAAATTTCGTGCATGTGACGCTGCCTGCACTAGTACACCGAAGCACCCGAAGAGTATTGTGTATTTGGTGTGGTGTCGTCCGAATGCTCGAGAACACATTCTTGCCAAAAGGGCATTGGTTACACACTGCTGCACGCACATGTGCGTGCACATGTCCATGGGAACCTCCTTTAGTTCTTCGCGGATGCATAGCCTATGCTTGTGCAGTCCAAGAAATAGCCGTGCATGTACTGCCATCGCCGCACTTGCAATCACAGGCAAACAACTGCCCCTCTTCCATATCGTCACCCTCCTGATCCTGCATTTGTCGCTCCTCAATCTGAGGCCTGGAGATGACGACGCCAGGAGGCGGAACGCAAACGGAACAGAAAGACGAGCGCAAACCCTAAAACAAAATGACGAGGTGGTCCCCTGGCATTATGTGTGTTTTGCGGTTGGTCGGAACAGCTGTTCTCTTTCGAGACACTCGCTGCATCAAGAAGTTGCTTTCGGAGAGTGCCCACAGCCAACAAGCACCTCTGCAGTTGTCTTGCAGATTCTTGCAGCATGGCGTGCTTGGCAATTATGGTTTTCGAACAAGAGTCTGTGCAGCAAACGGCGGTAGAATTTGCCATGCTTTTGTCCAAACGTTGTGGCTTCCGGTGGGTCTGTCGGTGAGAGGCTTTGTCGTGCAGAGAGTTGGTTCGCCAAGCATGTGGACTTTTTTGGGCTCCTGGCGGACTTGTTTTGGCTCCGTCTGACTTGCTGAAAGTGCTGATCACAAACCCTAACCAGAATCGTTGGAGTGATGCTCAGCGGTCGTACCTGCAACCGACAGGGCAGGGCACGTTGAGCCCTCGGTTGCCCTACAACCTGCATGTGTTGGTGCGTTTCGTCTGTGCGGGCGTGGTAGATTTTTCGACGTGTACCTTGCCGTTGCTCCTGCCCAGCTGATGCTTGTGTCAGCGCATGCTCGGCTCAATTTGACACCACAGCTTGCAGTCATTTGCCACCTTAGTTCTTGTTTCTTGCAGGGCGTGGAGATGGTTTCACCGTACCACAACTCTTTGCGTACTGTGCAGCTTTCTGCCATGAACAAGATGACATCGTTATCAGCAAGTCATTCAGCATTTGCGCATTCTGACAGCAGGCCCACCGGCGTCTGGAGCCTTTTGAACCACAGATCTTCGTGCTGAATTCCACCGCAGAACTCGTGAACACATCACGGGTCAACATTTCATTCGTGGTCAGATTGCCGCGCTCATAGATTGAGTTGGCCGGCTGGTGAACCCATCAGAGACGTGGGAGACTTGCCATGTTTATGGCCTCCTGCCTCAACCATCAGAAGCTGCTGCTGCGTTTGATTGCTGCCTTGTGAGGCCGAATGGGCCATTTCGCTGCGCAGTGAGGCAGCACATCTCCTGTCGCCACTTGAAAGGAGCTGAAACCCCAGTGTGAAGGTGCTTCAGCCCTGCATCTCATGCCTTTTCGGAGCTCCATTGTTTTATCATGAGGAATCGTTTTGATCGTGGTGCGTTGTAGCGCTGAGGCAACCAACATCCAGCTGCATGGGCCCAAGATTGAAGGCTGCAGTGTAAGGGTTCACAGATACGGTTCCAGGGTCAAGGGGAAAAAGGTGTTAGGGTTGCAATGTTTGTTTTAGCATTCGGTGTCAGGATTCAAGGTTTAAGAAGGTTTAAACAGGGCTTGAGGCTTAAGGCCTCTCAATTGGGGGATTAAGTGAATCTGCAGTTTAGGGTGTAGAAGTGTTTTGGTTTCAGGGGGTTTTGGGTGGGGCTTAAAGTGCTTTCTGGATCTTTCTGGGTTTTGGTGGCTTTTGGATGCAGTGGGAACGAAAAGGTGTCAGACCCGTAGTCTCCACCCGCAGACAACCGATCCACAGAAAAAGCTCTTACTACACGGCGCATTTACAAAAGGTCTTTACAAGCGGAGACCATACGAAAAGCCAATCGAAAGCAGAGAAGACAAGAGAAGCGTAGAGAATACCGTATGTTGAGGAAGTGTTATACTGTTCAGGCTACGCAGTATAACTCTTACCAAGTAGCTCAAGAATGCTCTACCGAAGATACCACACTTCAGCCAAATCAGCCCATGAAACAAAACACAGAAACTTCTGCAAAAATGAAATGCACGAACACTAAACTGGCTACAATAAACCTCCTAGACCCATGTATCTGGCAGGCAGAAAATAGTCCATTTAATCACGGAGAACCAGATTGACATTCTAGCTTTGCAGGAAACACGGGTGAACCATTGTTCAATGGAAGAACATGATGGCTACATGTTTTACTTTTCGTCGGGCATCTCTCATGAAGCTACAGTATCTGCAGAACAAAAAAGAGAACAACACAGTCAATATGCAAATACAGGAGTCTCTGAAATACAGCTATACAATGTGGATGCAGAAAAACACGGAGTAGGATTGGTTTACAGCCATAAACTACGACCTTACAAGAAAAACATACAACAAATAAATGGCAGACTTTTACTAGCAACTTTTGATACACAACCGCTCTGTACAAATATTGTTGTAGCCTATGCCCCACACTCGCTTCGACCTCAAAGGGAAAAGGACGATTTTTACGACAAACTAAATAGTACGCTAAACAAGCTACCCAAGCATGAAATGAATGTAGTAGTCGGTGACTTCAATGTGAGGCTTATGGAAAAACTACCACACGAAGACATGATCTTAGGTGAACATATCTTCGGTACTTACGAAGACAGAATAGACCTATTAAGTGAACAGCAGAAAGACAACCGCGAGCGTTTCTCTCAATGTGCCAAGACAACCGGCCAGTGGTTACAAACACATCATTTCAGAAGGATCCCGGCAAACTAGTAGCGTACCGGAGTCCTACAACTCTTAGCTTCTCGGAACCTTACACGAAGTCGCGCTTCGCCCAGCTGGACTACATATTGATCAATAAATACAAAGTGGAAGAATGTGGTGACCAATGCTGAGTCTAGTTGCTGTCACTCAATTACAGCGGACCACAAACTTATATTTGCTACGTTGCGTGTAAAACTTGCGAAGGCGCGATATGCGCAACCCCAGAACCGCACAAAATATAGACCCCCCACGCAAAATCAGATAGCTAGTTACAACACGCAAATTTCGGAGCTGGTTGCAAAAAGCGAACTCCAGTGTACAGACGACCCACTAAAGATATGGGCCGACATACTGCATGAAGCGGCTACTAATGCATTTACGTTAATTCCTCCAGAGCAAAGAAAACCATATATTTCAGCAGAGGCTTGGGACCGTAAGAAGCAACAACACAATCAAGCAGGGAACATACACAGTGCAAGGGAACTCGAAAAGCAATTGAGGAAGCAAATCCGATATGACAAAAAAAGAACATGCTGCAACAGCTGGAAGAGATGGACGAGCAAGGGTATAAATGGAGAGGTATAAAACAAATGAGAAAAAAGTTCTTCCCAAGGCACACAAAATTCAAAGATAAGACAGGCAACCCCATTCCAGAAAGCAGCTTCCCTGCTGAGGCAGCGGAATACTTAACGAATGTGCAGTGGAAAAAGCCGGAAACTGCTCAAGAACCCAAGACTGCTCCTCTTTCTGATGTTGGCGCAACAGTTAACCAATCTGCTTTTGAGCTTGACGAGTTCAATGCTGTGATCAAACGGTTAGAATGCAACAAGAGTCCCGGGCCGGATGAGATTGCTACCGAGCTGGTAAAATGGTTGAACAACGACAACATGACAAAGTTACTAATTCATTTCAACGACATGCTGCTTCATGGCAATTAGCCTGAATCTCTCAATCTGTCCAACATCGCGTCCGTTTATAATACGGGAGATCCCGCGAAATTGGAAATGATCGGCCAATAGCTCGTTTACAGACCTTCTATAAAATGTGGGCGGCTCTTGTCAAGAATCGTTTAGAGCCTGCGCTGGAGCCGTGGATGTCAAAAACCCAGTTTGGCTTCCGAAAGAAAACATCTACATCGCAAGCCTTATTCATCGCAAGAAGACTTATGGATATGGCAGAATGGCAAGGTGCCAATCTAACGCTTGTATTGTTAGACTGGGAAAAGGCTTCTTGACAAAGTAGACCAGAACAAACTCATCGAAGTACTATCTCGGTTAAGTATACCCGAACGTATCATCGGCCTTGTCCAGAACATTTATGAACATGCAAAATGTAGAGTTGTAAAAGGCAACATCCGCTCCAACTATCAGACGCAAAATTCAGGAATACGACAGGGATGTCCATTATCACCATACTTTTTTGGAGTTCTGATGACGGCAGTCTTCCAGGACATCAAATCAGTTTTGTGCACACCAAAGTCACGACAACCTATACCAGGCATTAGCTATGCAGAAGGTCTTTTTTGCCGACGACACACTATTGTTTGAAACGCACACTCACGCGATAAACAAGTTGCTGCGACAACTACAAGTAGAGTCAGCTAGATACCATATGAAACTTAATTTCGAAAAATGTATCCATCTTACTATCAATCGCAAACAGTCCTCTATCAAGTTTACGGATGGGTCGGCCGTTCCGAGGAAAACCCAGGAAAAATATCTTGGAGCCACTTTAACGGACGCCATTGACAACCATCAAGAAGTTATGCGTAGAATCGGGGGAAGCCACAGCAGTCGCCATACTAGGCTTGTTCTGGTCAAAAGCCCGCACAACAATTAAATGGAAACTACGAGTGATGGAACATGATGGAACCCATTGTCTTCAACAAGTTGGTATACGGCTTGGAAATGATCCAACTTACGCGTCGTGAGCAAGACCAAATCGACGCTTTTCAACTAAAAATATTCCGGCGTGTGCTCAATATACCACCTACCCATATCGACACAAGCTGGACAAACCAAAGAGTTGTGGACACTCTGTGGCACATGCAAAATTCAATCACGTCAAATTATCAGTTAAATGGTAGCAGAAAAAACTTACCTATTAGGCCATATCCTGCACGAATGGAGGTGCGTGCGGAGAGCAGTGGCTTGGCCCGAACCCTCGGCTCCGCATACGCTCTCCACGAGGGTGGCTTGGACTTGGACAGAAGGGCGTGGCTGATTGTTTTTGATCGTGTCGCTTCCACTCAGGACTTCTGCCGCAGGGCTCTGTCCCAGGTGTCTCGGATGGACGTGCTGCAGGCTGTCAGTGTAGCTCGAGTGAAGCGCGTGTTGTGACTGATGAGGTGGCGGCTTGGCAGGTTCTGTGGTGGTGCCAATTCCGGTCTACAGTCGGCCCAAAAGCGAAGACTTCATCCTACGCGGCTACACGATGTGTTCGTCACAGGAGAGAAGTTTTGAAAACTGGTACTCCAGCGAGCAATTCCGGAACAAGGCAGAAGAGACCGTGGAGCTCCGAAGCCGGGTCGCATCTGCCTTGGGGCGCACAAACGTCACCGAGGATGATGGCACTGGTGCTCCCCTCCCTGACTGGTGGAATACCTACGATGAGTTGGTGATTGCGGCTCAAGCCGGAAGTCCGGTTGTAAATTCGTCGGACATGGAAGAGGCCGAGGAGCTCGCAGCTTGGCTTGAAGCCATGAAATTCAGCAAGAAGGTGGCAGGTAATCGCTGCGGAGGACCTCTCCTGCATGTGATTGGCGAGCGTTTGGATTCCTCCAAGTACCCTGAACTGCGGCTACTGCATTACAGTGCACACTATGCGACAATGCTTTGCCTCCTTACGGCTTTAGGTATTTCTGCAAGTTCAGAAACGTCCCAGGACAGTTGGCTGACTACGGAGCTTTTGGGTTTGAGCAGTGTGCTCGCTTTTGAAGTTTCCTCAGCCGAAGAACCTATGGTTCGATTGCATTTTTGGCCGGGGACTGACAGCTCTGATGACACATGGCGAAGCTTGGATTTGCCTTGTGCTGGTCTCGGCACCGCGGCCGCCGGGGGATAATGACCCAATGCGGGAAATACTGTTTCAACCGGGAAAAACACGCCTAGAACCGAGCATGTGCGTAGGATCGGCAAACCGAGAGCAAACTGGCTACTGGACACATTCGTAGAAGCATATGCATTTTTGCATCCTGAAGCACGCTTCGATGAAACCGTCCCTGCGCTTTAGAACGAAATAGCAGACACGGCCATGCGCCGACCTGCTCAGGAGGAGTTTGTTCTATCTTTATGAAGGGGTCCAGAGCTTCTTTGCGTGCACTTTTCTGCGATGCCGGAATCCCGCTCCTGCTGGACAGGTACCCTTCACATCTAGTGACGGCGGGCTGACACTTCTGAGAAGCAAGTCAGTATGTCGCCATCACTGAAAAAGCACTTGCCTCAATCCTAGCAGGAGTTCCCTGCGGTGCGACATGTTTCAGCTGGGCGGGTGGCAAAAAAATCCTAGCAGGAAGAGGCAACTGATACTCGGCAGGACTTCAGAGCAGAACAATCTAGTCTAGGCATGAATCAGAAGTGTACGTGCTACACACACTCTCTGCTGGCTAGAGTGACGGGGATGACTACTCACCTTTAACAAAGGTCTGGATCCCCACAGCCCACCTGGAATAGCTAAGCTCGAAAGGAGGCTGGAGGTTGGAAGTGGGAAGCATTCGCGCTTGAATGGGGTGGACAACACAGGCTCTTGGAACCTGTTGAAGCGTGGCACAGAAGCCCTGAATCCATTGCACGTTGGTATCCCTCTCTTGTTCACGTTGCTTCAGGTCTACTGAAAGAGCGAAATCAAGCCTTTCCCGAACGCCCAGCAAAAGGGTTCATTTGCCCTGAGATCGCAGTTGGACAATTACCGAGTCGATGGTTTGTTGCTGCAGCCAGTGGGCTCCAACTTGCAGATTCAAACTCGCGCATTTGACCCTCGAGCAGATGCCACGCGGATGTGACATTCATAGGCTTCATAGGCAAGAGATGACCAGAGGTATCGGGATTTGAGGGTTTTACTTTGCTTGCCAGGGCACGCCGCTTCGTGTTGGGGGGCTAGGTTTCCCATGTGGTAGGGTGTGGTGCTTTCAGCGGGGAAGCTTTGGGCTCGGGACCGTTGGGGCTAGAATTGATGTGGGGTCGGGTTGAAGAAAGGAGACCATCTGCCATCGCTTGATGAGGGGTCGGGTTTAAGATAGGGCATCAGCCAGCATTGCCTACTGAGAGGTCGGGTATAAGATGTGGGATCAACTATCATCGCCCGATGAGGGGGTCGGGTTTAAGATTTGGGATCCACCACCATAGCCCAGCCAGCGGTGGGGTCTATATAAGGCATGGGAGCAACCGCCATCGCTGAACAAGAGGTGGGGTTTAATATATGAGATCAGCCGCCTTGACCTAATGTAGGGTGTGGTTTGCGATGTGGGAACAACCGCCTGCCATCGCCTAATGCCTACTGAGAAGTCGTATCTCAATATACGTACGGGATCGACATGGATCGACCTTCATAGCTTAATGAGATGCCTGGGTTTGGACATGGGATGAGCCGCCTTCGCCTCACGATGGGGTGAGATTGGGGCCCACCACATGGCCGAATGTGGGATTGTGTACACGATATGAGATCCATCAGATCAGAAAGGCCTGATGAGGGGTTTGGTTTAAGTTATGGCCGACGACCACCTTCGCCACATGAGGGCTCCCGTTTAAGATGGGGGTCAACCTGGGAATGACTCAGGAGCATGGCATGGCTTTGGTATCTGCTGAGCATTTCCGTGGCCGGCTTCGCCCGAGGCAATCGCAGAGGGGATCTGCGCACACAAATACGGGTCCAAGCTTCCATGTCGAAACGAAGCAGCACAGGCGAGAAGCCTACAGGTTGTGGTTAGTCACTCCTTAAAGCGCATCAGCTGATTGCCTCTCGCCGCATGCAGCCCAGTGGCACCTGGAATGGCAACGGTTAGTCAGCCTGTGGCGGTGATGCATGACATCTCTTGCTTGGGGAATTGCGTGTTTCTTGGTAAGGATGGCAGCCTTAACCGCCTTCCCAGTACAGCTGCTCCTAGCAAAGACTACTGTTGGTTGACTGCCCGGCTGCAGGCGAGTGCAATCAGGTAAACGTGGGGCACGTGCCTGAGGTGTCCTGCGTAGGCTTGGTGGCAGGTAGGGTTCGAACTGAAAAGCCACGCCCGCTCAGGTCATGCGCGGTCCAGGAAGATGGTTGTGGCATCAGTGCGGATGCGTCGGACAAGATGCATGACAGCTGCCTGATCGAACTTGAACATGGCAGGCCGAGATGATCAGGGCTTTTCAGATTCGAGCCGTCGCATACCAGGAAAAGTAGTCTTGCTGCTTCAAGCCAGCTCCGCCTTGAGCGTTGCATGATCGTCGGAAGTAGGCACTTCTACTCTTGGCCCCATCACCCATCAGTGATTCGTTTCCAACTCTATCGGTGGTTAGTGGTTGTGTCTCTGCAGATGTGCTTTGCTGTGAAAGGCAATGTGACAGCCTGGATTCCTTTTCCTCAATCCAGACTCGGAAGTACCAGAAACCGATGGAGCTCTCGAACTTGTCAACTTCGATGCTTGCGGAAGATGCAGGTGAGCTGACGAGCATGTCGATTTTTCTGAGGAACCTGGCATTGCGCTATGCAACAACGGATTTCTCAGTCAGTCAGTGCACCAACGGGACCGATCCCATCTCGACCGCCGAGCTGTGCCAAGCGGCGGCTTCCGTCCTTGGCTTGACTTTTCGAAAGCCAGGCTTCTTGGACGGAAGGGCGCCGGGTTGCGTCGTTTCGAGGAACTCTGACGTGTGGTTCAACCTGGCAAGCGGCGGTGCAAACAGCGACAAGCTTGGTCTCATTTGTGAGATCAAACAGCCTTGCACCGCGACAGCCCCCAAGCTGAGTTCAGTCTACCCATGCACATGTGGATCAGCAACCTGTCAGCCAGGCCAGCTATGCAGTTCAAACGGGTGTGAAGATGTTCCGTGCAGTGTCACTAATGGGAGTGCAACAAGCGATTCCTATCCATGCATGTGCGGCAATGTCACCTGCGGAGATGGCCAAATCTGCACATCCAGTGTGAACGATTGCCTGACTTTTGCGCTGATGGACTACGGTTTAAGTGATTGTGGGCCATTTGATTCTGTGCTTACGGTCTCACAGTGTGAAGCTGCGGCATTGAACCTGAACTTGACTTATCGGGCATCAGACAACACGGACGGAACTGCGCAAGGTTGCATTGCCTCGGCAAGTGGCGACGCTTGGTTCAATTCTGTCAGCGGTGGCGTGAACAACGCCAGCTATGCCCTCATTTGTTCAACCAGGCAGGCGCCAAGTGTAGGGCCGGTACCAGCATCGGAGCTTGCAGACTTTGAACCTCCCACAACCACAACTTCCGACATGTCGGCGCCAACATCAACGACGGCAGGAGTCATCTCGTCAACACAGCTGCCAATCTCGACCACGTCGGCGCCAACACCCTCCACTTCAACGCAGTCAGCCCCTGCAGCATGGGAGTTCGTGACCTCGGGCAGTTGTTCCGATCCTGTCACTTCGCTTGCAGAGTGCGCTACCGCCCTTGAATCGCTAGTGCCAGGGGCAGGTCCGCCAGTAGCAGACAACTTGCCCGTGAACAGCTCGGCAAGTTTGACTCGCCCTACAGGTTGCTATTACAGAGCGAAGGGAAATCACAGGGGATTTGACGTCACCGGCACGAACGAGGGCTTGTGTGGCTCCGGCGGTTGGAACTGTTTGTGTCGTCAGACCTCTCTGATGATGATGCAGTTCGTACCGAGCATGGGCCGCAACATCGACATGATGCCTTTTTGCGATTGGGAGAGGGGATGGCAGACGATGACAGATCCATACAAGTGTCAAGTGGCAGTGCAATCGGGTGAAATTCCCTTCTCTGGAGGAAGATGGAGGGGTATCACTTGGAGGGTCAGCAAATTTGGTTGCATAAGGTACGGCGACTATCCAGGCGAGAGATTTATTTTCAACACGAGAAAACACCAGCCGGGGGAGTATTTTCGGGACGTTGCCGAAATTTGTGAGAAGCGTGAAGCCTGTGAATGCACGAATGGTGCTAATCCTCGTTATCAATATTGGCCATGCATCGAGGGTGCAAACTGCGCATCTTGCAATCACGGCTACTACCTGACGAGCGGCACGTGTCAAGAACAGGTTTGTACCTGCGAAAATGGCTCTGCTGAGCGAGGGCTCGGCTGCCCCAGCAATGGCGCCGCCAAATGCAGAGACTGCAACTCCGGTTATTATTTGGCTGGCGGATCATGCATTGCTCACACGTGTTTGTGTCAGCGAGGTGTGGCTGCAAGAGGAGCTACCAGCTGCCCAAGTGGCGGGTGGGTTTGCGCGTCGTGCGATGCTGGATTTCATCTCAATGGAGTACATTGTATCGTCAACAGATGTACATGTGCCAATGGTCAGGCGGCACAAGGCGCAGCGTGTTATGCAAGTGGTAATATTTGCACCTCGTGCAATCCAGGCTATGTTCTGGCTCACGGAGTGTGCCAGCCTTGCCGGGACTTCAGACCGAACTATTATGATTTTTGGTTTGACGGGGCTGGCAACACCTGTGCGTGGTACGGTGAAGTAAATGGCAGATGTTCGAGCTTTGGATCGTCGGTTAATCATGGACAGTCGTCCTTTCAAGCCTGCTGTTCCTGTGGTGGTGGGTCCCTGGAATGCATTGCACGTTTCGTAGACGATAAGCCACTGGAAGGGACGGAGTTCCGCGAGGTCACCTTGACTCCTGCCAGCACGTAAGGGCTTGCAGTTTACAAGCTCTGCAGGCTTATGTGATGGGTGAGGGGCGGAGGAGGTGCTTGGCGGGCTTGGATCGTGTTACAGGTCGGTCTTTCCCAAAAACGACTCGGGGGTTGGGTTCTCCTTTAGATTAGATTTTCCAACCGAGTGGCCGCGATACGGGGTGCGGCGCGGCAACATTGGCGTTTAGAGCCTTCCGCATCCGGGGTGCGACACCGGGCACAGGGTGCGTCCACCGGTGGGGTTGCGATACTGTGTGTGGTGCGGGAGGTTCGACCGGTGAGGGTCGCGATATCGGGGTGCGGCGTGGGGGGTTCCGGCACGATACGGAGACACCGGTGGAGGTCGCGATACGGGGTGCGGTGCGGCAGACAATAAGTTTCACCGGTCAGGTCGTGGTCCCCCACAGGAGGTTCTAGCGAGCGGCGCGTGTGGGACGGTCGCGATACCGGGTGTGGTGCAGGAGGAGATTCCGCCGGTGGGGGCCGCGATTGACCTTGTTGTGGGTGGGAGAGCATGCCAGAATCTGTGAGCGTTTGCATTGTTAAATCTGCCTGTGGCTGCAGAGACTTGTTGCGCAGAACATCACAGAACCATGCTTGCTTCACACAGAAACTGACAAGGACTGGCCCCACTTCGGAGCTTGATGCCCGATGCTGCAATCTCTGCAAAGACAATTTTAATTGCGAGTACTGGTTCCGAGATTTGGACGAGACAGGAGAAGTAAAATGCAGACTGGGACATTCTGCCACCTTGCGCAAGCGTCGTGACGGTCCAAACTATCGTGGAGGTTACAAGGGGTGCAGCGTTCAGGATGGGAGTGGAGCAAGCTCAGCATACCCATGCACCTGCGGAGGGGCCACCTGCTACAAAGGCCAAAAATGCTTCGGCAGCGACAGCTACTGTGCAGGCCCTTTCATGACCTTGAACGCATATAGATATCCAATCACGACGCCTTGTGCCTCACCTGTGCTCCCCATAAGCAGCATGGCCGAGTGCGAATCGGCAGCGGCAGCCTTGGGGCTCAGTGCTGTGTCGGGCCCAGTCCTACATGTCGGTGGTCCGGTAGGCTGCTATCAATGGAGTTTAGATGATGCAACAACATCAAGATGGAAAGGCGAAGCCACAAGTGGAGTCTGGCCTTTTGCTTACTTTCATATTTGCACAAATCCCCAGCTCCTCGGCACATTTCCGTCAGCATTTCCACGTGCAAGTTCCAACTCCCTTGCACCTCCCGGAGCTGGGTTTTCGTTTGTCGGTGTACCCTGGCTGCCGCTTCAGCCAGACAAAGTCTCAAAGTGGCCAGGAACATGCATCAGAACCAATGTGGAACAATCGTGGTACCAGGTGGACTTCCAGAATGTGTATCGGTTCAGCAGTGTGTCGCTTCTCAGTCGTGACGATTGCTGTGAGGATGAGTTGCAAAACCTCGACATCCTTGTTGCGACTGCTGGGTTTAGCAGCTATACGGTCTGTGCACGCGGTGTGGGCGTCCTTGAACGGGGAGTGACACAGAACATTCCGTGCGAAGGGACGGGCTCCATCATCCAAATTCAGCATTCGAGCACCAAGGCATTGTCGCTGTGCGGCTTTTCAGCATTTGGTGTTCCGGTCGGGTCATTTGTACAGATCCAGCAACCTGAGCCAGGAGTAGATGGTGACTTGATACTGCCAGCTAACGGTTCACAACAGCTTTTGAACAACTCAGAAGCAGTGCCCGCTGTGTCACCACAAACGGTCGACACCATCATCATCAGTGGCCACTGTGACTCCACCGTGAACGGTGTTTATGCAGGCTTTGGCACTACAACCAGTGGCATGCCATTCTACAGTGATGAGGACGGATACCACCTCTATTATGACCCTGATTGCGATGGACTCGGCACGCCTCCAAAATGGATAATTGGCTCGACCCTGCCGAACACCACGAGATTCTCAGATCTTGATGAAGATGGTGCCTGTGACTTTGTCGCTGCAATTCCTTCCCGAACTATGAACCCTCTTTCCAGGCCACCCACGGGAGAGTTGTCCTGGAGATTGCTCTGTGATGGCAGCTTTGATGACAGGAGCATGAAGCTCGAAAATGGCGATACTCTGAGCTGGCAGAACAATTTCGGCTTGTCTTGCGAAACCTATATTTCTAGAGGTTGGTGCAGCAACGGTGGCTTCACTGCTGGGTTCGAGTGGACCGGCAAAGAAGCTTACTTGGATCAGTCGACGGTGCCGCAGGACTGCCAAGAAAGCATCCTTTTCCAGCAAGCCGGCAACTGCGCAGAGTTTTACAACTACCCAGGCAGAAACTGTGCTGCCTGTGGGAAGAGTGCGGCAGAAGCGAATTGCAGCATCGTTGATGGGAGCACCTCGAGCTCAAGCTATCCATGCCAGTGTGGAAACGCTACATGTGCAAGTGGTCAAGTTTGCATGTCCAGTTCGAGCACTTGCCAGGATGGCCAGTTCGAGCCAACCCTCGTGTCCGGCTATATCTCGATGGCCTTGGCGAACTGCACAGCTTTCATGGCTGAGCCGAATGCCTCTCACGCGATTGCTGAGGGTGTGGGCAAGCACTTACGACTTCCAGTGTCATGGATCAGCGTGCAGCTTACTTGTGGTGTACTGCTCTTGGAGGGTGAGCAGGGCTCATCGCAAGATCTACAAGGAGCACTCCAGATCAGCATTCCGCCTGCCAATGCCTCCGTGTATGATCCAACCACAATCGCCAACAATGTGGTCAATGTGGACAGAGACGCTTTGGCAATGGAGATTTCCTCTGCAATTGCAGGCCCGACTTTCCAAAGCTAACCTATCTAGACCCTATCCTGTCGGTGTCGCACATCTTGTTAGACTTGCAACAGCATTTACTTGTCAAAGAGCCCGGTCTTGTTCGGAGGTGAATGCTAGGCAAAAGATGCGTTTCGTGGACAGCGGACACCTGTTCGTTTTTTTGATTGTGGGCACGCGCGCGCGCGCGGCCGCGATTTGAGATCAGCCACTCAGACCCTCAGACCCTCAGACCCTCATACCCTCAGACGCCCAGACGCTCAGACCCTCAGACACTCAGACACTCAGGGCTCCATCCTCTGAGTTCAACGGTGATAGGAAGTCTGTTTTTAAAATCCGGGGCGCCCCATCAGTCCAAGGCTCCATCCTCTGAGTTCAACGGTGATAGGATGTGTGTTTTTTAAATCCGGGGCGCCCCATCAGTCCAAGGCTCCATCCTCTGAGTTCAACGGTGATAGGAAGTCTGTTTTTAAAATCCTGGCGCCCCATCAGTCCAAGGCTCCATCCTCTGAGTTCAACGGTGATAGGAAGTCTGTACTAAAATCCGGGGCGCCCCATCAGTCCAAGGCTCCATCCTCTGAGTTCAGCGGTGATAGGAAGTCTGTTTTTAAAATCCGGGGCGCCCCATCAGTCCAAGGCTCCATCCTCTGAGTTCAACGGTGATAGGAAGTCTGTTTTTAAAATCCGGGGCGCCCCATCAGTCCAAGGCTCCATCCTCTGAGTTCACCGGTGATAGGATGTGTGTTTTTAAAATCCGGGGCGCCCCATCAGTCCAAGGCTCCATCCTCTGAGTTCAGCGGTGATAGGAAGTCTGTTTTTAAAATCCGGGGCGCCCCATCAGTCCAAGGCTCCATCTTCTGAGTTCAACGGTGATAGGAAGTCTGTTTTCAAAAATCCGGGGCGCCACATCAGTCCAAGGCTCCATCCTCTGAGTTCAACGGTGATAGGAAGTCTGTTTTAAAATCCGGGGCCCCATCAGCTCCCAGTTCAGGTCCAATCAGGCTCCATCCTCTGAGTTCAACGGTGATAGGATGTGTGTTTCTAAAATCCGGGGCGCCCCATCAGTCCAAGGCTCCATCCTCTGAGTTCAACGGTGATAGGAAGTCTGTTTTTAAAATCCGGGGCGCCCCATCAGTCCAAAGCTCCATCCTCTGAGTTTAACGGTGATAGGAAGTCTGTTTTTAAAATCCGGGGTGCCCCATCAGTCCAAGGCTCCATCCTCTGAGTTCAACGGTGATAGGAAGTCTGCTTTTAAAACCCGGGGCGCCCCATCAGTCCAAGGCTCCATCCTCTGAGTTCAACGGTGATAGGAAGTCTGTTTTTAAAATGCGGGGCGCCCCATCAGTCCAAAGCTCCATCCTCTGAGTTCAACGGTGATAGGATGTGTGTTTCTAAAATCCGGGGCGCCCCATCAGTCCAAGGCTCCATCCTCTGAGTTCAACGGTGATAGGAAGTCTGTTTTTAAAATCCGGGGCGCCCCATCAGTCCAAGGCTCCATCCTCTGAGTTCAACGGTGATAGGAAGTGTGTTTTTAACATCCGGGGCGCGCCATCAGTCCAAAGCTCCATCCATCTCCATCCTCTGAGTTCAGCGGTGATAGGAAGTGTGTTTTTAATATCCGGGGCGCCCCATCAGTCCAAGGCTCCATCCTCTGAGTTCAACGGTGATAGGAAGTCTGTTTTTAAAATCCGGGGCGCCCATCAGTCCAAAGCTCCATCCTCTGAGTTCAACGGTGATAGGAAGTCTGTTTTTCAACTCCTGGCGCCCCATCAGTCCAAGGCTCCATCCTCTGAGTTCAACGGTGATAGGAAGTCTGTTTTAAAATCCGGGGCGCCCCATCAGTCCAAGGCTCCATCCTCTGAGTTCAACGGTGATAGGAAGTCTGTTTTTAAAATCCGGGGTGCCCCATCAGTCCAAGGCTCCATCCTCTGAGTTCAACGGTGATAGGAAGTCTGTGTTTAAAATCCGGGGCCCCATCAGTCCAAGGCTCCATCCTCTGAGTTCAACGGTGGTAGGAAGTCTGTTGTTAAAATCCGGGGCGCCCCATCAGTCCAAGGCTCCATCCTCTGAGTTCAACGGTGATAGGAAGTGTGTTTTTAAAATCCGGGGCGCCCCATGAGTCAAAGGCTCCATCCTCTGAGTTCAACGGTGATAGGATGTGTGTTTCTAAAATCCGGGGCGCTCCATCAGTCCAAGGCTCCATCCTCCGAGTTCAACGGTGATAGGAAGTCTGTTTTTAAAATCCGGGGCGCCCCATCAGTCCAAGGCTCCATCCTCTGAGTTCAACGGTGATAGGAAGTCTGTTTTTAAAATCCGGGGCGCCCCATCAGTCCAAGGCTCCATCCTCTGAGTTCAACGGTGATAGGAAGTCTGTTTTTAACATCCGGGGCGCCCAATCAGTCCAAGGCTCCATCCTCTGAGTTCAACGGTGATAGGAAGTCTTTTTTTAAAATCCGGGCCCCATCATCCAAGGCTCCATCCCTTGAGTTCAGCCTGTGAAGGAAGTCTGTGTTTAAATCCGGGGCGCCCCACATCCAAGGCTTCCATCCTCTGAGTTCACAGTGATAGGAGTGTTTTTTAAAATCCGGGCGCCCCATCAGTCCAAGGCTCCATCCTCTGAGTTCAACGGTGATAGGAAGTCTGTTTTTAAAATCCGGGGCGCCCCATCAATCCAAGGCTCCATCCTCTGAGTTCAACGGTGATAGGAAGTCTGTTTTTAAAATCCGGGGCGCCCATCAGTCCAAGGCTCCATCCTCTGAGTTCAACGGTGATAGGAAGTCTGGTTTTAAAATCCGGGGCGCCCCATCAGTCCAAGGCTCCATCCTCTGAGTTCAACGGTGATAGGATGTGTGTTTCTAAAATCCGGCGCGCCCCATCAGTCCAAGGCTCCATCCTCTGAGTTCAACGGTGATAGGATGTCTGTACTAAAATCCGGGGCGCCCCATCAGTCCAAGGCTCCATCCTCTGAGTTCAACGGTGATAGGAAGTCTGTTTTTAAAATCCGGGGCGCCCCATCAATCCAAGGCTCCATCCTCTGAGTTCAACGGTGATAGGAAGTCTGTTTTTAAAATCCGGGGCGCCCATCAGTCCAAGGCTCCATCCTCTGAGTTCAACGGTGATAGGAAGTCTGGTTTTAAAATCCGGGGCGCCCCATCAGTCCAAGGCTCCATCCTCTGAGTTCAACGGTGATAGGATGTGTGTTTCTAAAATCCGGCGCGCCCCATCAGTCCAAGGCTCCATCCTCTGAGTTCAACGGTGATAGGATGTCTGTACTAAAATCCGGGGCGCCCCATCAGTCCAAGGCTCCATCCTCTGAGTTCAACGGTGATAGGATGTGTGTTTTTAAAATCCGGGGCGCCCCATCAGTCCAAGGCTCCATCCTCTGAGTTCAACGGTGACTGAAGTCTGTTTTTAGAATCCGGGGCGCCCATCAGTCCAAGGCTCCATCCTCTGAGTTCAACGGTGATAGGAAGTCTGTTTTTAAAATCCGGGGCGCCCCATCAGTCCAAGGCTCCATGAGTTCAACGGTGATAGGATGTGTGTTTTTAAAATCCGGGGCGCCCCATCAGTCCAAGGCTCCATCCTCTGAGTTCAACGGTGACTGAAGTCTGTTTTTAGAATCCGGGGCGCCCATCAGTCCAAGGCTCCATCCTCTGAGTTCAACGGTGATAGGAAGTCTGTTTTTAAAATCCGGGGCGCCCCATCATCAATCATGCAAGGCTCCAGCCTCTTGAGTTCAGACGGTGATAGGAAGTCCTGTTTTTAAATTCGGGGCGCCCTCATCAGCCAAGGGCCCCCCCCCTCCATCCTCTGAGTTCAATACGTGATAATAAGTTTGTTTTTAAAATCCGGGCGCCCATCAGTCCAAGGCTCCATCCTCTGAGTTCAACGGTGATAGGAAGTCTGTGTTTAAAATCCGGGGCGCCCCATCAGTCCAAAGCTCCATCCTGTGAGTTCAACGGTGATAGGAAGTCTGTTTTTCAACTCCTGGCGCCCCATCAGTCCAAGGCTCCATCCTCTGAGTTCAATGGTGATAGGAAGTCTGCTTTTAAAATCCGGGGCGCCCCATCAGTCCAAGGCTCCATCCTCTGAGTTCAACGGTGATAGGAAGTCTGTTTTTAAAATCCGGGGCGCCCCATCAGTCCAAGGCTCCATCCTCTGAGTTCAACGGTGATAGGAAGTCTGTTTTTAAAATCCGGGGCGCCCAATCAGTCCAAGTCTCCATCCTCTGAGTTCAGCGGTGATAGGAAGTCTGTTGTTAAAATCCGGGGAGACCCATCAGTCCAAGGCTCCATCCTCTGAGTTCAACGGTGATAGGAAGTCTGTGTTTAAAATCCGGGGCGCCCCATCAGTCCAAAGCTCCATCCTGTGAGTTCAACGGTGATAGGAAGTCTGTTTTTCAACTCCTGGCGCCCCATCAGTCCAAGGCTCCATCCTCTGAGTTCAATGGTGATAGGAAGTCTGCTTTTAAAATCCGGGGCGCCCCATCAGTCCAAGGCTCCATCCTCTGAGTTCAACGGTGATAGGAAGTCTGTTTTTAAAATCCGGGGCGCCCCATCAGTCCAAAGCTCCATCCTCTGAGTTTAACGGTGATAGGAAGTCTGTTTTTAAAATCCGGGGTGCCCCATCAGTCCAAGGCTCCATCCTCTGAGTTCAACGGTGATAGGAAGTCTGCTTTTAAAACCCGGGGCGCCCCATCAGTCCAAGGCTCCATCCTCTGAGTTCAACGGTGATAGGAAGTCTGTTTTTAAAATGCGGGGCGCCCCATCAGTCCAAAGCTCCATCCTCTGAGTTCAACGGTGATAGGATGTGTGTTTCTAAAATCCGGGGCGCCCCATCAGTCCAAGGCTCCATCCTCTGAGTTCAACGGTGATAGGAAGTCTGTTTTTAAAATCCGGGGCGCCCCATCAGTCCAAAGCTCCATCCTCTGAGTTTAACGGTGATAGGAAGTCTGTTTTTAAAATCCGGGGTGCCCCATCAGTCCAAGGCTCCATCCTCTGAGTTCAACGGTGATAGGAAGTCTGCTTTTAAAACCCGGGGCGCCCCATCAGTCCAAGGCTCCATCCTCTGAGTTCAACGGTGATAGGAAGTCTGTTTTTAAAATGCGGGGCGCCCCATCAGTCCAAAGCTCCATCCTCTGAGTTCAACGGTGATAGGATGTGTGTTTCTAAAATCCGGGGCGCCCCATCAGTCCAAGGCTCCATCCTCTGAGTTCAACGGTGATAGGAAGTCTGTTTTTAGAATCCGGGGCGCCCATCAGTCCAAGGCTCCATCCTCTGAGTTCAACGGTGATAGGAAGTCTGTTTTTAAAATCCGGGGCGCCCCATCAGTCATCAGTCCAAGGCTCCAGCCTCTGAGTTCAGCGGTGATAGGAAGTCTGTTTTTAAAATTCGGGGCGCCCCATCAGTCCAAGGCTCCATCCTCTGAGTTCAACGGTGATAGGAAGTGTGTTTTTAAAATCCGGGGCGCCCCATCAGTCCAAGGCTCCATCCTCTGAGTTTAACGGTGATAGGAAGTCTGGCTTTAAAATCCGGGGCGCCCCATCAGTCCAAGGCTCCATCCTCTGAGTTCAACGGTGATAGGAAGTGTGTTTTTAAAATCCGGTGCGCCCCATCAGTCCAAGGCTCCATCCTCGGAGTTCAACGGTGATAGGGAGGCTGTTTTTAGAGTCCTGGGCGCCCCATCAGTCCAAGGCTCCATCCTCTGAGTTCAACGGTGATAGGAAATCTGTTTTTAAAATCCGGCGCGGTCCATGAGTCCAAGGCTCCATCCTCTGAGTTCAACGGTGGTAGGAAGCCTGTTTTTAGAATCCGGGGCGCCCCATCAGTCCAAGGCTCCATCCTCTGAGTTCAACGGTGATAGGAAGTCTGTTTTTAAAATTCGGGGCGCCCCATCAGTCCAAGGCTCCATCCGGGGCGCCCCATGAGTCCAAGGCTCCATCCTCTGAGTTCAGCGGTGATAGGAAGCCTGTTTTGAAAATCCGGGGCGCCCCATCAGTCCAAGGCTCCATCCTCTGAGTTCAACGGTGATAGGAAGTCTGTTTTTGAAAGCCAGGGCGCCCCATCAGTCCAAGGCTCCATCCTCTGAGTTCAACGGTGATAGGAAGTGTGTTTTTACAATCCGGGGCGCCCCATCAGTCCAAGGCTCCATCCTCTGAGTTCAACTGTGGGTCGACTTCTTGCGGATGGGTCGACTTCACACGAATCGGGGCGTGAGCTTAGGGAGGGCCGACTTCACACAACTTGGGTCGACTTAAGCCCAGCGCTTGCGAGCTACTTCATATGCTTTTTTAAACAACGCAAACGTTTGACCTCTCTAACCCTCGACTTCCAAAGACCGTAAAAACCACGGTCGATGGTCCAAGGACCAAGTAATCCGTGGCCCAGCCGCGATTCACTTTTGAACGACCCCGAATCACCCATGTGTCAAATCGAGCTTTCAGGTATCTCTGCAGGTGCAGCCGAAGCATTGAAACGTTTTTGTGCTGGCTGTGCTCACGGTTTTTTCACGGTCGCCCCGAAGAGCTAACCCCTTCTATGGCCTCTCACCGGTGAGGGTTGCTCACGAATTTTTCACGCTTTTTTCACGCTCCCACGTCGCCGTTCATAACGAACTTGTGGCCTCACACAGCTTACAAGTAAAATGGGGTCGCGCGACAGTAAAATGGAGTCGCTCGAAAGTAATTTAAGGTCGAAGCGCGAGGAGTGCAGAAAACGTGGTCGAGGAAGAACAGGGTAACATACAGCCACATGGCCCCCCCGGAAAGTCAGCCACTCAAACTCAAACTTTCAGCCCCTCAGGCATTCCAACTTTCAAGCATTCAATATTCGAAAACTCAGACACTCAGACGCTCAGACACTCAGACACTCAGCTAAGTGGCTGGGTGACTGGGGCTGGCCTGAGCGGTTGAGTGGCTGAGTGACTGGGGCTGGCCTGAGCGGCTGAGTGGCTGTGACGGGGCTGGCCTGAGCGGCTGAGTGGCTGAGTGACTGGGGCTGGCCTGAGCGGCTGAGTGGCTGAGTGACTGGGGCTGGCCTGAGCGGCTGAGTGGCTGAGAGGCTGGTTTCAAATACGGCGCGGGCCTCTATGCACGCTCTCTCATTTTGGCAAAAGACAACATTTTCATTGCACGCTCTCTGGCCGACCAACCTACAGTGTCACTGCCAGACTCCTCGATCTTGGCCCGGATGCGGTCCCGCAGGGCTGACATTTTGATAGGAGTGCGGAGTACCCACTGTTCTTTCATTGGCAGGTTTAGGGCAGCTCCAGAACGCAACAGACTTTGCGCACTGCTTTTTGGCGGGATGCACTTTAGCTTCATTCTGATGGTACGCGCACCTCAGACCTCGAATGCGAAATACCCACGAGGACTTTCTGCCAAACTTCGTTGCAGAGCCTGTCCATGCTTTCTGCATACGGCTTTACACCACGACAGGAGCTCGCACTTGGCAAAGCCAGCCTGGGCAAAAAAATGTGTCAGCTCAAAATGTGCATAACCACATCTGTCAAAGCTGAATTGAAGTAAAGGACCGGGTCACCCCACGTGATAACGATTCTCGGTATGAACGACCAAATGAGTGCAAAAGAAAGTAGTGATCATGTGCATGTGCGGGTGTGTCGGTGCACGTCAGTTTGTTGATAGTGAATGGGTGGCGTGTTGGACGTGCGCGTTCGTGCCCGTGTGTCGTGTGTTGTAGGTATTGTTTGTGCTGTGTGTATATGTGCTGCGTGGGTGTTGTATGCAGTGTTCGTTGGGTCGTGTGTGTAGCAACTCCCGATCAGCACGAGGGAGGCAAGTCTTCAAGATTATTTCAGAACTGTTGCTGTGAAGCCTTGCCTGCCGTGTGCGAGTCTTAAAGTCGAATCAACGCAGGGGAATCAGGGGATGGGAGTGCTGGTCTTCCATCAACGAAGACACCAACCACATGCAGTGTAAACGTACCTGCGGGGTTGGAGTTCGACGCTCATTCAGCCTAAGATGTGACTGTGAGTCTGCTCGCAGCGACTTGGTTCGTGCCTTGGTATGCGCCTTGGTATGTGCCTTGGTATGTGCCTTGGTATGTGACTTGGTATGTGCCTTGGTATGTGACTTGGCAGGTACCTCGGTATGTGCCTTGGTTTGCGACTTGGTGAGTGCCTGGTTTGTGCTTGGGAAGAGGCCTTCAGACCGTGGGTTTGCCAACTTCGAATGAGCAACTAGCAGTGTCAGTGAGAGTGTGTGTGTGTGTGTGTGAGTGGGAGTGCGAGTGGGAGTGCGGGTGCGGGGTGCGGGCCGCGGGGTGCGGGTGCGTGTGCACCGGGTTCGGGTGTGGGTGCGGTTGGGGTGCGTGCGGGCAAGTCCGGGTGGGTGGGGGGTGGGGGGTGGGGGTGGGGGGTCTGGCGGGTCGGGGGGGTGGGGGGGGTGGGGGGTGGGGTGGTGGGGTCTGAGGTGTTTGATGGTATGGCGTCCAGTTCCTCTTTGTCGTCAACACAACGGACGGGAGAAGCAGACGGGATTGAGGACACCTCTCCACGTCGCTTAGCAGTCGAGCGGCGAGAATCCCGAGAAGGCCGTGCATGCCCATGCCAAGAAGAAGGCCCGGACACCAGTGCACAGTCTGCGAACAAGAAGGCCCAAGAAGAAGGCCGAGGAGTGTCCCGAGATCAGTGCCAAGCCCAAAACCACGACCAAGAAGAAAGCGGCAGAGCGGCCGGACGGCGGTGCCGAGCTGCCGAAGAAGAAGGCCATTAAGAAGGGCAAGGACACCAGCGTGAAGCCTTCGAAGAAGAAGGCCATGCCTCAGTATCCCATAGAAGAACTGCTGCCGTGTGACCAGTGAGAAAAGGCTTATGTTGACGAGATTGCTGAAAGGTGCAAGGCAAAGGTAGATGGCAAGGGACACCGAGCAATCGGTGAAGAGTGAAGACAAAGAAACTAAGGAAGGGAAGGAAAAAGAAAAAGAAAAGCCGAAGATTCAGCCTCCTACAAAGCGAATGCCAACGAAGATTGCCCAGGCAAAGCAAGCTGAGACGGGGAAGAAAACGGTGACAAAAGCAAATCTTAAGAAAAGGCTTGATGAGAAGAGGACACTTGGAACGGATAGACCAAGTGAACCAAGTGGAGAGCCGAAAGGGCGCAAGTCGGAAGCAGAGGAAAATCCGAGATGGTGGATGGATTCGGAAAGCATGATAACTTGCTTTTACTGCCAAGCAAGTGGCCACAAAGTACTTCAATGCAAGCAGATGTTAAGCGATGCAAAGGAGATGACAGGTTTTCTCCCTCGCGAGATCACCAAGCCTCGCCACGTTTTCTGCGGATTCTATAATTCTATAACGTGAAGGCGGTGAAGATCGAAAAGCTCTCGAAATCGGCGATCGAAGAGCGACTCCCCGGCTGGGGGAGCCACAGCCCTGATAAATGCTGGTGGAAGTCAATGGTCAGGGACTGGGAAAAGCACAACTACGGTGATGATGATAAGAAGGATGCCGATAGAAAGAGAAAGGAAAATCCTTCGCAGCCGGACCCAAACTGGGGCAAGGAAGGGATGAAGAAGCGAGCGAAGGATGATGCAGTGATCAAGGTTGACGATGAACCAGGTGAAGAGACGAAGTCCCTTGAAGAGAATAAGGGCGCCGATTCGAGCAAAGATCACGAAAAGAAGAAAGAAGAGAAGACAAAGGATGAAAAGAAGAAGGACGATCGCAAGAAAGATGACAAGAAGAAGGACGAGCAGAAAAAGGATGAGAAGAAAAAGGATGATAAGAAAAAGGAAAAGAAAGAGGACAAGAAGCGAGCTGAAAGCCCTGAGAAGCGCGATCGGGAAAAGGGCCCCGAGAACTTGGAATGAGGGCGCACAGCCCAGCGAGAAAACAAAAGTGAACAAGGAAGAAGATCTGTACAGAAGGCTGCGAATCCAGCAGTATAAACAACGGATAGTTTCACACAATGTGATCGCACGGAAAACCAAGAGCCTCCGTTTGATAAAGGAGATTGGCTAGTCCAGTCAACGAAATGCACCACGAGCACCACGATCAACGCAAAAGTTGTTTCACTGGCTGCAGCCAAGTGCGTTTTGACGCAAAGCAGAAGGACATGGAAGTCCAGATGCAAAGGTCTATGTAAAGATGAAAGACCGAATGAAGAGTGTGTCTCAACGACAACTATGTCGACCTCTGCGACTTCGTGCGAGCGGAAGAAAACAGTGAGTGCCGCCTGCGGTAGTTTCGGCAAGGAGCATCGTTTCTGAAACCGACAGTTTCACGACAGTTTTCCGTTACAGGACTTGAAGTCAACTACATCCACAACAAGCACAGAAGAGGAAGAAGATGGTTAAAGTGAAGAAGAAGCTCAAAGGAGCATGCGAAAAGAGACACGGCTCTAAGTGAGCATGAGACAAAGGTGAAGTGGATAGTAGAAGAATGTTTGAAGATCGAATCAAGTTGCACAATGCAACCTGAGTGAGTCGATGAGGGCGTAACAAACATTTCAATTTCCTGTGTATGCCCAATTTAGCATGTTTCACTGCGTGTTTTCCGTAGGTCGTACCACGGCTCAAGCCAGCGGGAAAACAAGGGAAGCCCGTACCGTGTGTTCAAAGGTCTAGAAGTGACGTTGGTAAAAGGTTTTAAACTTTCAGAATTGCACGTACTCCTTAGGGCCTTAGTTGCCCTCGCCTTGGCACGGCGCTGGGTGCGGCCAGCGCGGGCGATTCTCAGCATGTTCTACGGCATCGCTCGCCCAGGCGAAGTGCTGAAAGCTACTCGAAAGGAACTCCTCTTGCCGAGACTGAATCCACCACAGCTTTTTACTCGAAAGTGGTCTCGCCCAAGATCCGTCACCGCGGCCTCGGCAAGATCCAAAATCGATGATGCTCAAATCCCTGCGTTCTGTGAGCGTGTGTTCGGTGGGCTCCCCGTGCATGAGAAGCTGTATCAGGGAAGTCCCGCTAGCTTTCGTCGTCGGTGGGACGCCCTGCTTTCGGTTCTGCAGGTCCCCAAGAAGCTTCGGTTGACGCCAGCTGGACTTCGCGCCGGAGGTGCAGTGTTCGCCTACAGGCAAGACGTTGAGTTGCAAGAGCTGATGTGGCGGATGAGGTTGAGCAATCTTCAGACCCTCCGCACTATGTTATGCAGGTTCCCCAAGAAGCTTCGGTTGACGCCAGCTGGACTTCGCGCCGGAGGTGCAGTGTTCGCCTACAGGCAAAACGTTGAGTTGCAAGAGCTGATGTGGCGGATGAGGTTGGGCAATCTTCAGACCCTCCAGCACTATGTCCAGGAGGTCGGAGCGGAGACTGTGGTCGTGCAACTTCCCCCGCGTGCCAAAGAGTTGGTGTCTATTTCGAGTTCCCTCTTTGAGTTCTACGGCTACGTTCAACCCATGATGGGTCTTAGACCATGGTGGCAGCACCAGCTGTTCCTTGACAGGCCATCTGCGGCAGCTTCTGTAGGCTGGAAGAGAAGGGCCCTTTTTCACGAAGCTCTACCAAATCCAGTCAGTTGTGATCCAGCTTCTCTGGCCCATCTTCCTTCGCTTAGCCTGTTGCCAGCTCTAGGCTGGCCACACAAACTTACCAGCTGCTGTCCGAAAGGGTTGCAAGGGAGGTGCGGAGTGGGAGCACATTCATGTATAGTTGTGACCGTGCCGCGCCTTTTGGTTCAGCAGTGAATAGTGTGACCGCATAGGGTCGTACCGTTTAACTTGATTCCATTGCTCGAGTGCTTACCGACAACTGTCTGCTTGACTTCCGGCGACTCATGGCTTGCTCCCATCACCGGCACTTCTGATAGCGACCGGATTCATCGCTCTTCTGCAGAACCTGTTCGAGTTAATGCTTAGCTTGTCCCTGAGATTAGGCTGCTTGTCATCAAGCAGCCATTGCAGTAGAGACTGACGTATCCACTGTGATAGCAAAGGGCCACTGTTCAGCGGTGTTGCATTAGGTGTGAGCTGTCGGTGCAGAGAGATGCTTGGGCTGTGTTTGTCAGTGCTGCAGCTGTTGAGCGAGTCATAACGTGATAGTTCTTTTGATTGCTGTTGCAACGTAGCCATGGATAAACAGATGATGGCTGATACGAGATGGAGAGGCTCGCAAGCTTCCACATCGCAGTTGCTCGAGTTGCTTTGGCAATTTTGGGACCTTCTCAATCGGAGACTTCGGTTTTCTGATGGACCCATTCGATTTTCGATGCCGTCACCAATGGCAGTGGTGCCAGAACAAATGCTGTTATTATCACAGTCATTCGATCAGCCAAGAGGAGCAACATGCTTGGTACGGGCCACACACATGTTTTCTTCATGATGATGCGGGCTATGAACGCCTGTGGGAGTCCTTGCATGAGTCGACGGCTGTGTGCATACCGATAAAATCGCTACAAGATGTGTCTCAGTGGGAAAACAGTGCCGAATCTGTGCAGGTTTATATATGTTGGGCAGCAATGTTTCTGATGTGGGTGCTCAAAGAAGCAGTTTTTGTCCTGGCCGTAGGAACTTCCGCATTAGCTCTGATGTAGAGCTTGCGACCCGTTAGCGCCGCTGCAGCGCTGGAGAACGTACACCCAGTGCGAGGTAGTGCAAATATGTGCAAGTCAAGCGTGAGTTGCATGAGCATCGACAGGAGATACTGGGCATTCAAAAGATGCAACCGCAACAATTGGACACCGTACAGACGCAGCTGCGAGAGAGTGAAAGGCGTGTGGCGAAGCTGATTGAAGCTGTTATTGAGTTGCTTCAAAAGCACAATCGGACACAGGATTTGCTCGGGACTGACCTCGGGTTTTTGAGAGTTCACAGTCAAGGTCCAGAAGTGAGCTTGGAAGAGATTCCAGCAACTCAGCCGTATCATTGATGAAAGAATTGGTTTGCTTGCAACAACCCCTTCACTTGCTGAAGGGGTGTGTGTGTGTGTGTGTGTGTAACTCTTGTCACAAAGGGTTCCAGTGAATGCCCGCAATTGCCTGGTCTGTAATAGTGGCAGGCCAACGAAGAGGCTGTTACAGATCACTGATATGAGCTGCGGACGCCTGGCTCGCGTACCTGCATAAGGAGGTGTGTAGTGAAGCTTCATGTCTTTCAAAGCTCGGAGTGGAGACCTGCACAAATGTGCACATGTGTGTGTGTGTGTGTCTACGCAGCATGCGTGTTTCTGTGTATGCGCGTCTGTGTGTGTGTGTGTATGTTTGTGTCTGTTCTGTTGTATTGTTGGTGTCGTGATGTACAATTCTCAGTTGCATGCTGTCATGCTCATGTTGTCATCTGTGACATGCATCGGTTGCACATGGCGGGAGGATGCAGCGCTTCGGAGTGGATAGGATGGTGAGCATAGGGCAAAGTCCCCACAGTGTGATGTGGGGAATGAAAGCATCCTTTCAAAACAGCTGTATACAAACGACTTGAGTTGGTACGACCACGCCGGAACGTTGCTTCTTAGAAAAGCTGTCGTTGAATTGACCCGTCGCTAAGCCCTCCACATGCACCAGGTCCAAGCCAATGTCCCCAGTGAGCATATTGAGCACATCCTTAGTTGGATTTGTGTGGGGCGGGTGAATAGAGTCGATCATATTAACACGGGCTCTATCAACAACAATTCTTGCGAAGAAGCGGCACCAGCACAAACAAGCTCACATCGTCAACGAGCCCGACACTTTGCACACGGCTGCTTTGGAAACTGCACATGAAAGAGTTGTAGCGCTGAGGTTTGGCAGGACAGGCATTTGTTTGATGCACAGCCAAAACTACAATACGTGGAAGAGCGAACCTCCGAGACTGCTCCCCGTGGTCGCCCAGTTGGTTTGTCGCAACAGCGCATGGTCACACCACAATTGCATGTTGTGACGGCAAAAGCCACAACAGCAACATGTCACTGACGCGCACTCCTTCCCAGCTGCCAGTGATATGTCCCAGGTTCCGCTTGCCAGGCTGGCAATCCCGGGTTACGCATTTTTTTGCAGAAACCTTTGTTCCCTGGACCCCAACCAAAAGCTTTTTTGACGGCGGACAGCACCTCTTCGTGCCTCACCCGCAAGTACCTATCGTCCACATCACGAGAACGAATGTGCACACTGTTCTTGAGTTGAGCAACAGCCGTTCCATCCCAGTCTCCCAGTGGGTATCAGCAGGATGCTGGAGTGATTGCTGCCCCCAACAAGCAGTGTTCACTTGCTTTTCGCATCTGAGGGCTGAGTCGCACTTGATATCAGAACGATACTGGAGTCTTCTTCCGACCGAAAAAGCATTAATTACTTGGAGTCTGTCGCGATCCTAAGATCCTAAGGCTCAGCTGCGCGAAGTATTGGAATGTTGTTGGCGAGTTTAGCAGTGCTCACGCTGTGCATGGTAGTCAAGTTGTGGTGTTGAGTTGCATGTGGTATCAGATCTTCAATGACCCTTAATAGTGAGCAGTTCTCAAAGGTTTCTTGGCTTCTTTCCGAGGACTGAGGTGACGTACCATGCATTACCTCCCTTTCCTTGCCCCCCACCCTGCCGTTTGCCCCCGCCCACCCCGTCTCCCCCTGAGCCTCCTCAACCTCAACAGTGGTGCCTTCTATCCGGATTTAAACATGGCTCCTGGCAGGAGTAAGACTTGCCCTCAGCCCATGAGGCTCTCTGCCATGACAACACCCACCTCACGTGCCCACCGCCACCCTTTCTCTTGAATGAAGTTCGCGACGGCGTCCTAGCACTATGCTCATGATCGCGGCCAAGTTGCCAACCATCCTTGATTCATCAACGGAGCATCAACAATCCAAAGTTTTGCAATTGAGCGACACTGAACGACTCATAAGCATGCTCAGACGTTACTCGAAAAAGGCTGCGCTTCGAGGTTCGCCTCCGAAGCCTGCCCCTCCCTGG